TTCTCATGATTAACCAAAAGATCCTTGATACCATAGAAACTAAAACTTACCTGCTTTATAAAACAACAATAACATGATTAAATTTATATTACAACATAGGGGGAACGACGTTTTCCCACCCAAGGTTTGGCAAAATGACAATTTCCCACCCGTCAAGTTTCAAAATGACACATTCCCACCCTTCGTCAAGTTCTGTTAGTGTTTTCTGTTGATATTTGACTGAAAATATGAAAATACACTTAAATAGTTATTTCTTAATTAGTTTATCATAAATTAAAATTTAGTTAGATTAAAGTCTTTATTCGATTAATTGTTAGTTCAAGTGTAAAGATATATTTTTTCTTTTGTTCCTTTAATTAATTAGGAATATTGATTTTTTATGTTAAATAGTAAAAATGAAAAACATTATATTATGAAAAACATTATAAATTTAGTAGATTAGTGAATAATAGTGATAGGATATTGATGACATTATAAATAAATATTAAGGTCATTTAACTTTAGATAATTCCATAGCATTACTCATAACTTTTTAGGTAGGGCTAACCATTTTTTCTTTTTTGACTTTTTGGCTAATTAAAAAATAATAAAAAATTTATAAAGTCAAATATTTAAGGTATTTTCGTCTTTTCAATAAAATATTAACGGAAAACATAACAAAACCTAACGAAGTGGCTCTGTTTTAAAACCCAAACCGAACCAACTGGTTCAACTGGTTCGACCATGAACCGGCCTCAATTCTGGTCTGGTTTGATTTAAAACCCGTGTTAACTGTTATTAGACCGGATAAATAATGTCGGTCGGATGGTAAACCAAGTTCCTAAATCAAATTACCTAAATCCCTAAAACTAAATCATTTCTACACAAAACTCCAGACTCTCTCTTCAATCGACAACGATAACGACACCCTCGCTGCTTCAATCTCGAAATTGAATCACTCAAGTCAAGGACGACACCCTGTCATTCTTAAATCCCAAACTTTACTCATTGGCCACCACTATTAAGTCAACGACAACACCATTTCAAGTTATTTCTTCCTCCTTTGTTTCATGTTTCACTTTTGTAATTTTTTTCTCACAAACTTTACCCACCGGTCACCCTATTAAGTCAACGACAACACCATCCAAGGTATTTCTTCCTCCTTTCTTTCATGTTTCACTTTTGTAATTTTTTTCTCAGATCCAAAATTTGTTGTGAATAAAGACCTTCCTTTTGAATTGTGTCGATCTTATTGGAAACCTCACCGAGAAGTTTTTATCTAACAGTAATACTACACTCACAAACTCTTCTCACTAATTTTCTCTCACAAATGCGATGTATCAGCTCGTAATCGGTCATCTCGTAATAGGTCTTGCCTGCCTAACAATAGGTTCCGTTGGACCAAATGCATCTAACCAAATGCAAGATGACCAATTGCAAGCTGTCACGTTAGCGTTTGTGAGAGACAGTTGTCAACCTATCATTATTCTTTGTCTAAATGCCCATTTTTTCAAGTGTTATATGACAAAAAACAATATCTTGAGCAGATCTTAAAGTTTTAGGTCCCTTTAAATATAGTTCTTTTGCATGTTTTTTGTTTTCAATCTTCTCTCATTCATGGAAGAGGATAAATAAGCATATCTTTATCTCTCTTCTCGTGTTGAACTGTCTTTTGCTGGGTCATATATTTGCTTTGTATTTAACAAAGACCCTCGGTGCTGAGGCTTTGTATTTGCAATAAGGTGATTTAATATTTTACTCTTGTTTGTGTATTTTTAATAACGGTACTCTATTTTCCCTAGGAGACAAGAGAAACATCGCCGAAAAGAGGATACTATTCTTTTTCAGATCGTGATCTTCTCACTTTTTATTCTTCTTTACCATTGCAATTCCATTTCCACTTTTTATAAATTTGTTGTTGGATTTGTAATCAGTTGAAAATAGCATGATCCCGAGTTTGTTATTGAGTTTTTTGGATGAATTTTTAAATATTTAGTGTTGTCTGTTGGTGTTGTCATGCTGATGTCATTGGTTAGATTGACCAATCGGGTAGGTTTGACCGATCAACCTAGGACCTGGTGACCTTGGCGGGTCACTGAATGAGTCTAGTTTTAAAATAGTGATTGTTGAAACGAAGATGATATCTAAACAATAACAAAGTGATAATTGTCAAAGATTTCATATGTACATTGAAGAACAACTCCAATAACAACATAACTACATCACAAATATCAATTGGAAAATTTTCAATTTTATGACCAATTAACACAAAATAATTAAAATACTATTATCAAATCAAGGAATCATACCCACAAATTGATATATTTAATATGACAACATATTAACGAAGCGAAGAAATTTTGAGCAAAGGTGTTTCCTTTTCGTTCTAAAGTCATTAATATGACACAAAATATCCATCATTGTTTCCTTTGGAAGCTAATCAATAATATCATCTATTTTATACATGAACCGAATAGTATTCAAACCAAATTTTAGGGAAATGGATGTGATAACACACAAAAAGTTGAATTTGGATTTATGTTCCTAGTTATAAAGAGTTTTTTTACTAATGAGCCGCAACAGTTGCACCTATCAAAGCAACTAAAAGAATTTCAAAATCAGTTCAAATGGTTGATAAATAAATCCCAATTTGTTAACTATAACAAATCTTCCTCTATAATCTGGTTGGCTTGGGTAGTCCAAATAATCTGATACCACAAGGTCGTTAGAATAGTAGTGATTAGCAAAAGCAAAAGCAAAAGCAAAAGCAAAAAAAAAAATAGAAAACCTAGGGAGAGGGGGTTTAAATCAGTGTTGAAAGGTGAGAAATCGGGGACAGAAAGCATAGGGTTATTGGAGACGTTAAATGGTGGGCTTGATGAAGATTTTTGGTGATGGGACTGCCGGAAAGAAGTTGGCGGAGTGCGACACTTGAGGTGAAGGGTGACGACGAAAAGGGGAGTCAAGGTGGTTGGGGTTGTAGTGGGTTGGGATGGTGAGGTGTCGGGGAGGAGGAGGTGTGGAGGGAAAAAGAAGAAGATGAGAGGAGGAGGCGGAGATAAGGAAGAAAGGGAAAGAGAGGAGGAAGAAGATGGGAGGAGGAGGCGTACTGGGGAAGAAATGGGAAGGGAAGAGGAAAAAGAAAAATAACAGAAAGACCAATTTGCTCCTTCACTGTTAAAACAAATGAAATGATGTTAATTTAAGGGTGAGTATTTTGAATAAATCTTCATAATGTACAAAAACCTCATCCTACTCCAGACTAGGATAAAATAAGACAGTTATGTAAGACAGTACGATAAATCTAGTAATTTCAAGAGCTTGCTACTGTTACAGGCTAGGCCTATGATACCGGCGGGGTACGGGCCACCCTTAAAATGTTCAAACTTTTATGTTAATTGAGCCGGATCACATCTAAAAGTGGGAAAACCAATCTAGAAATATTAAGCAATGATAAGAGGGTATAATTGCACCCCAATTTGAGCACCTCGCAAATGAATACATTCATATCAGAGAAAACGAAGATGAAGTAACAAAAGCAACATGTCATATAACTGTTACCAGAATATGATATCTGCAGCATTTGTGAAAAAATAAATTATCCCATTTGAGTACTCAAAAAGTTATATTAAGATTCTAAACTGAAATATTCTGGCCTATGTGAGGTGAAAATGAATTACATTCGTGATCATCCTGCCTAACATTCAGTAGCTCATCCTTACAGTAAGGACATAGGCTGGTACAGGAGATATACACTCTTGTAGGGGAAAAACAGAGAAGCACGCCTGTTGTTAGTTTTACTATGCGTATATTGGAGTTTTTCATGTATTTTGTTCTGGTTCTGTGTTACCATGTAGATCAAATTAATCTCAACAGGATTGTAGAATAATCGAGTTAATACTTTTTCCATTCGATTTCGAAGTGGGAAGGCAGATTTGCCTTAAATATAGTGCAGAAGAGGCACATTGGTATAGTTTGCGATACTGGAGAATCATGAATCGTTAAAACTTAAATGCACTAACATGGTAATGAATTTAATAAATGNAAAAAAAAAAAAAAAAAAAAAAAAAAAAAAAAAAAAAAAACAACTTGCTCAAGCTAGGGAAGTAACCCCATCCCAAATAGTTTAAAATTTTCAGTAGGGCAATAACAAAGTTAAAGAAAGAATGATAGAGAAAAACTTACATAAAATTCTCCTATAAAATTTGAAAAGGAATAGTTCAACATTCGGTGTAGCATAACTTGTTATGTATTTCATGGTGAAGATTAATCCCAACTCCCAAGATAGTAGTGATTAGAAAGAAATTATTCAAGCAAAAAAACCAACTCAAATTAATATAAATTCCCCCATGTTAACGTAAAAGGGAATTATTACCTAATTCCCAACAACCTTAATGGTAAAACAATTCAATAGTCTTTGGAAATCTCTAATTCAAGATGAGATTAGAGAGAGCTATATTTCAGTATAAATAGAAGAATACAAATATGGAGAGATTTACAAGATTTACATAATTGAGACAATTAAGGGAGATTGAATCAATTTACAGAGTAATTGAATCAATTTACAAGTCAATAGATTGATATCTTAAAGATCTTGTAGCTGTAGTGTCTTGATTTAAGGAGCTTTTTTCATCATTCACATCACATTGGTCAACAAGTATAACCTTAGCATCTTCTGAATATGGTAGGCAAGAAGTCATTTCCTTAGCACTCCCCCTCAAACTAAGTCGTGGACATGACAAAAGGCTTAGTTTGAATCGTAAGTTGTGAAACTATTGGCGGCCCAATGGTTTGGTAAATATATCTACTAATTGTTGATTAGATGAGACAAACCGTGTAATCAAGCTACCAAGCGCAATCTTTTCTCATACAAAATGATAGTCTAGCTCTATATGCTTGGTTCTCCCATGGAAAACGGGATTTACCGTCATGTATAAAGCACTGATATTGTCACAATATAAGATTGGTGGCTTAGCCAGACGAACTCCAATGTCATGAAGCACATACGTCAGCCACATTAATTATGTTGTGGTAGAAGCCATGGACCTATACTCTGCCTCAGCACTTGATCTGTAAATAGTACTTTGTTTCTTTGCACTCCATGATAGACAATTGCCACCTAGGAATGTATAAAAACTAGTGGTAGATCGTCTTGTAATGGGACAGCCAGCCCAATCAGCATCAGAGAACGCATATAAGTCTAAGGTATTGGAGGTAAGAATCTGCATACCAAAATCTAGAGTGCCAGTTAATATCTTAATATTCGCTTGACTACTTGATAGTGGCCAATTGTTGGAGCATGCATAAATTGGCAAGCAAAGTTGACACTGTAGGACAGATCTGGGCGAGTAAATGTGAGATATTGTAATGCCCCAACAATACTCCTATAAAATGTGGGGTCTGAAAAAAGATTATTATCAGATGCTATTGCACAACTTTTAGATGCCATGGGAGTTGAGATTGCCTTGCAATCTTTCATTAATGCTTGATCAAGAAGGTCCCGACTATACTTGGCTTGACATAAGAAGATCCCATCTAATAAGGACTGAACTTCAATACCCAAAAAGTAGTGTAACGTGCCTAAATCTTTGATAGCAAACTCATGGCCTAACGTGCCAATGAACCTATCAATAACGCCCAACTGATCTCCAGTGAGGATCATATCATCAACATATAAGAGAAGAATAAGTGTGCCATGGTGAGAGTTGCATACAAATAAAGATGGATCAGCTGTACTACAAAAGAACCCCATGCCAAGAAGAAAGGAGATAAGTCTATCAAACCAAGCCCGTAAAGTGCCTTCTTGAGACGACATACATGAGTTGGATGTACCAAATTGATAAATCCAAGAGGTTGTTCCATAAACACAGGCTCTTGTAGAATGCCATGAAGGAAAGCATTCTTGACATCAAGTTGTCGAATAGGCCATCTTCAAACAACTGCTACTGCGAGGACTGTGTGTATACTCCCTGGCTTTATTACAGGAGAGAAAGTTTCAAAGAAATCAACCCCCTCTCTTTGGTTAAATCCTTTTGCCACTAAGTGGTCGGTCAAAGGACCCATTCGACTTTAGCTTCGACTTGTACACCCATTTGCATCCCACAACATTCATCTTGGTTGATCAAGGGACAAGTTCCCATGTTTGATTTTTTTTTTTTAGAGCATTTATTTCTTCATTCATAGCCACAACCCATCCAGGATGTTTGAGTGCTGATTTTAGAGTCTTTGGTCCACATGGAATTGAATCAAAATAAGTAGTCTAGTAAGCATACCGTGGATTTGGTTGGAAGATGCCATTTTGTGATCGAGTCACAATCTTTTGTACTGCAAGTGGCTCCGTATGGGCAAAATGTTGATCATTTGATTGCAATAGAGATGATGGGGATGAAGGTCTATCATTGAGACCGAAGTGATCTGCCAGCCCAGGAGCGATTGAAGGTGTAGATGCCATGACAGGAGCAGGATCATGCACATTTTCAGTAGTAGAAGAGGGACAACTTGGCAAAACTTCAAGAGTGAAAGAACCATGAAGAGGTGGCGGAATATGTTGATTGGAAGCATGTAAACAAGACATGCATGTAAAGATATGGATTAATAGGATTCAAAAATGCAAATAAAGCATAAAAACATTATACCTTCTCCTAGTGCTTAGGTTTGATGAAGCCAAGATTCAAAAGTATGAATCCTTCACACTTTAACACCATCTTGAGAGAATGAGAGAGTGGCCGAACCTAAGAGAGAGAGCTTGTTGTTCTTTTGAGTGAACAAAATGAACACTAACTTAAAATGCAACCATTTGCATTTATATATACATGGGTCATTTTGTAATTAGTTGTTTTTCACTTGCATGCCCCAATAAAATCTTATTCTAAAAAGAACCCAAGCATTTATTAATTTGCCCTTTGAATAATCAATATTATTCAAGGGCCCATGTAAACTAAACTGGTTTACATTAACAACCCATAAGTTTACCCTTTTGCCCTTTAACTATTAAAAAGTTATTTTAGTTCATCTTATTTATCTTAACGCTTTAAGATATAATAATTAAATACAATGAATTATTGCTTGACCATTTTAACCTTTAAAATGTCACAAATAATTTTATATGTAACTATTACCATAGAAATCATGTCATTACCCTCAGATGGTGCTAACCCTCTTCGGATAATCATTTCTCTCTCTTATCCTTCTCTAACTTTTCAAGGCTATTTGTGTGACCATGTAGGTCCACCGTGGATTAGCCGTGAGCCAGTTCTGGATGAATCTGAAAACCTATCTAGAGGCCCAACAACTATGGTAAACATCTAGCAATGTGTCATAGTCCCTAAACCACAATGAAGAAATACTTCATCGAACCCTTTTCAGATTATATGTACCATACAGGTAAAGTCCCTCCATTGATATATCCTGATTGAGTACGGATTCATGGAACATCAAAATCTTAAACCCAATCTTCTACCGAATCGTCAATCAATATGTCCGGAACTTGTCATCACGAACTTGCTTTCGTATAACTAATAATAGACTTTGGCCAGAGATTTTGATTTCTGACATTTATCGACATTCGTCTAGGAACTCGAATCCGGATGGAGTCAGCAGTACTCCTGATCCTATATTTTCGAGTCAATGGATCCCTTTTTGACCATCATTCGTTTCCACATATGAACAACGCATGACCAAGTAGGCTTTATCATATGAAACATAACTAGTCTCGTACTTATACACCGTATAAACCATATGCATCTGTATCAGATTCGACCATAATGTCTCAGGTCAAAGGACTACATTGTGCACTGATATAACTAAATGATAAATCATTGACTACATGCTTTTCCAAGTGATTTGTCGTTACTCGATCACGTTCGAAAAACAGTTCACCAACTGCTAATCCATACTAATGCCCCAGTGACATGACTATCATCGTCATCCGTACTTACATCAATTCATGATATCTTTCGGAAGCATCCAGTATGCCTACTATGCAATATAGTTGCCCAAACTATATTGCTTCCATAGGCAACCTTTTGATAAATTCATTTACCGATTAAATGAATCATCTGGACAATTCATATACATACTTTATTTTAAATGCATAACTGAATAAAGGAAGCAATTTATATATATGAATTGAAGAACTCTTTCTTCTATTATTTATGATATATTGATACAAGACAAAATGCTCTAAAACCGACAACACGAATTGTTTCTAAGGCATAGACTAACATACACTAACTTGCACTTAAGTCATTCGATGTTGTATCTCATACCTATCTTCTCAAGATGATGGTCCAATTGCTTCAGTGTCAGCGCCTTAGTCAATGGATCAGCTACATTTTCTACTGAAGGTGTCTTCAAAATTATAATCTCTCCAACTCCAACGAATTCTTTCAAAATGTGATACTTGCACTGAATGTGTTTGGATTTTTTTTGTGCCCTTGGTTCCTTTGCCTGTGCAATTGCTCTAGTATTGTCACAGAACATGCTTATCGGATAAGCCATGTTCGAAACCACACCAAGTTCAATTACAAACTTTCGCATCCAAACAGCCTCATTTGCCGCTTCTGAAGCAGCAATGTATTTAGCTTCTGGAGTGGAGTCTACTGTAGTTGTCTATTTGGAACTTTTCCAACTAACAGTACCTCCATTACATATAAAAATGTACCTTGACGTAGACTTTCTATCATCAATATCTGATTGGAAATCAGAATCTGAGTATCCTTGAATGTTTAATTCTGAACATCCATAACTCAGAACTAGATCTTTAGTTCTTCTTAAGTACTTAGGGATCAACTTTACAACCGACCAATGTTTCTCCCTTAGATTTGACTGATATCTGCTCTAAAACTTACAACATAAGTTATATCAGGTCTTGTACATAGCATTGCATACATTAAGCTGCCTATGGCAGACGCATAAGGCACATTACGCATCTGCTGTCGCTCTTCATTGGTCTTTGGACCCATCTATTTGGAAAGATAAAGACCATGAGTGAAGGGCAAGAGACCTCTCTTAGAGTTCTCCATGCTAAATCTTTTCAGCATTTTCTCTATATACAATTTCTAGGATAATCCAATTACCCTTTTCGTTTTATCTCTATAGACACGAATGCCAAGGACATAGGTCGCTTCTCCTAAGTCTTTCATCGAGAAGGTTTTGGATAACCAGACTTTAACCTCTATCATCATGCCTATGTCATTTCTTATCAAAAGTATGTCATCTATATATAATATGAGAAACGTGATGGCATGATCTTTAACCCATTTGTATCCACAGGGTTCATCCGGATTCTTGACAAAACCAAATGATTTGATTATGTCGTCAAATCGAATGTTCCAGCTTCTTGCAGCTTGCTTTAATCCATAAATGGATCGATGTAGTTTGCATACCTTATGTTTTTCAATAGAGGATACAAAACCTATTGGTTGTTCCATATAGATGTTTTCCTCAATAAACCCATTAAGGAAAGTTGTTTTGACATCCATCTGCCAAATTTCATAATCATGGTATGCTGCGATGACTAACATTATACGGATGGATTTGATCATAGCTACAAGCGAGAAGGTTTCCTCATAATTGAATCCTTGTTTCTAAGTATAACCTTTCGCCACTAGTCGAGCTTTGAAGGTCTCTACCTCCCCATCCTTGCCAACTTTTCTCTTGTAGATCCATTTGCAACCTATAGGAACTATTCCCTCTGGTGGATCCACAAGTGACCATACTTGATAGGCATGCATCGATTCTATCTTAGAATCTATCGCTTCCAGCCATTTTCCTGAATCTCTATCCAGTATTACTTCTTCGTAGCTTCTAGGATCATCACCATGATCATCTACTCCCACTAAGTAAGATTCAAAATCTTGCTCATGTAGAAACCCATATCTTTCTAGAGGTTTTGATATTCTAGAAGACTTTCGCATTGGAACCATAGTATCTGATACTAAGGTTCGCTGAGTAGACATTCCAGCTTCAGCAATCTCGGTTCTTGGCTCTTCGAACTCTTCCTTGAGTTCAATATTTCTTCCAACACCGCCTTCCTTCAAGAACTCGTTCTCGAGGAAACACACATTTCTACTGATCCAAACTCTTTGATCACTTGGAAAGTAAAAGTAATATCCTAAACTATCTTTAGGATATTCAATGAACCGACCTTTCTTGGATTTAACATCCAGCTTGTCATATTTAACTAATTTAACATAAGTTGGACAATCCTAAATCTTCATATAATTCAGACTTAGACGTTTTCCATACCATATCCCATACGGTATTTTCTGGACAGTTTTAGACGGGACCCTATTAAGGATGTGCACAATGGTCTGGAGAGCGTACCCCCATAGAGACATTGGCAATTCAGTAAAACTTATCATCGATCGTACCATATCCAATAAGGTACAATTCTTCTTTCAGACACTCCATTAAACTGGGGTGTATAAGGAGGAGTCAATTATGAGATGATCCTATTTTCCTTTAAGAACTCCTAAAACCCTGTACTCAAGTATTCACCCCCATGATCTGATCGTAGTATTTTAATACTCTTTCCAGTTTGATTTTCTACTTCATTCTTGAATTCTCTGAATTTTTCAAAGGATTCAGATTTGTATTTCATTAAATACAAATACTCATATCGTGACATATCATCTGTAAAGGTAATGAAGTATTCAAATCCTCTCCTAGCTAAAGTACTTAATAGTCCACATACATCTATATGTATGAGTCCTAATAGTTCTTTAGCTCGCTCTTCTTTATTCTTAGAGG